GACCCGGCATTTGGCCTTGTTGAAACTCATCCCATTGGCTTCAGCCCAGCTCTCCAGCCTGTCCAGATCCCTCTGCAGGGCCTCGCTACCCCCAGGCAGATCCACACTTCCAGCCAATTTGGTGTCATCTGTGAATTTACTGAGGGTGCACTCGATGCCCTCATCGAGGTCATCAATGAAGATATTGAAGAGGACAGGCCCCAGCACCGACCCCTGGGGAACACCACTCACGACCGGTCGCCAGCTGGATTTGACTCCATTTACCACCACTCTCTGTGCCCGGCCCTTCAGCCAGCTCCTTACCCAGCCAAGAGTGTATCCATCCAAGCCTCTGGCTGCCAGCTTCTGCAGGAGAATGCTGTGGGACACAGCGCCAAAGGCTTTGCTGAAGTCTAGGTAGACCACATCAACAGCCTTTCCCTCATCCACCAGATGGGTCACTAGATCATAGAAGGAGATCAGGTTGGTCAAGCAGGACCTGCCCTTCACGAACCCATGCTGGCTAGGCCTGATCCCCCGGTCACCCCGCACATGCCGCATGGTCTCCCTCAAGACAATCAGCTCCATAACCTTCCCTGGAGTAGGGGAAAAATGCTTACCTGCTGAGGTACCTACTTTGTTCCCCATATCTGCCCATTTATAGCTTACTAATAGTGATAGATGCTAAAAATGTCTCTGTGTGAGATCTGAGAAGTGAAGAAAGAGGATGAATTTATCTTTAGGGAAGAAAAGAAAAAAGACACCATGCATGAAATAAGGTATCAGACCTGCTTTGTGTATTACCTTTTGAGACTGCGTCTTTCTAATGAAGGATCCTAGCAGAGACTGCAGAAATACAAGAAAGACTACTCAGAGTAGCAGCTGTTTCATCTGCAGGAGATGGATTGGGTTCTTTCTCTGGGTCCATGGGCCTGGGATCTAGTGGATTGTCTGACCCATCCCAGTGATTATTTAAGGTTGCACCAGAATGTTTTTAACTCAGGACACTTGACTCAGATGTCTCTCACTCAGAGCAGGGGAAAAATGGTACAGAGTGAAAGCATGAAGGAAATAAAAGAGCAGCTACAGGTGTGCAACGGCTCCTTTGTGTATTTGTCCATATCATATTCATACGAAGGTTGCATCTCTTCTTTCACTCGTACTGCCTTGTAACAGTTTTCTGATGCTAATCCTAAAAGCATTCTAATCTTTTATTGATCATCTGACACCTATAGCTCATCTCATTACTCTTCAAAAATCCTGCTATCAACTTAGCCTATTTCAGTAAAAATGCACATGTATTTCACAACTGTCACCAGCACACACTTCTTTTGTTGATGAATTCACTGTGAAATGCTTTTTTTCATGTCTGTTCTTTTGACCTTTTAAAGACCTGCAACGACATTGGTAATTTCAAAATTTAGTAAGATTTGTTTTTCCTTGCAGATCCCTGATTTGACAAAACAATGGCTTAAAGGACCTTCCATAATTTCACAGGCAAATATAGGCAACTCAGTGTGGAAAGGCAGTTTGGACAACCATGTAGCTCTCAGCTATCTTTGGGAATCTTTCAGACTTCGGAGGCAAGAGAGATGTCCTCCTTGGAGACATTTTGTTTGCTACTCATTTGGTTTCTAGTGAAGAAGCAATGGAAATGGCCTTTTTATCACATCTTCAAGCATAGCAAGGATTATGATTTTTTTCTGTCAACCTGAATGGCAATCTTTTACTCTTTACTATGGGTGTAGATAAAATGTCTTGAATGGGAGGCCTTAATCATTTACAGAAGAATGTTTTCTTATGAGCACAGTGGATAGAAGCACCTTGGCTTTGGTGCCCGCTTTTATGCAATTTTCCCTCTACAACAACAAAATTTGCTCCCTGCTAAAACATTCTATGTTGGTTTTCCTTGTACTCTTTTTCATTTAGCTCTCCCAATGTTACTTCAGTGCTTCCCTTCCCTTCCCTTCATTTCTGTCTTTCTCCTTACCACCACCACCACCAAAAACCCCTTTTTATTCAAGTCTGACATTGTTCCATGTGGAGGAATCACTGGACTGGAAGGAATCTGAGCACTGCCAGATTCACTCTCCCTGGACAGCAGCAGCACACATGCTGTCACTCTCACAACACATCAATATTCCAATTTCTCTTCTCTTGGAAAAGAAACAGGAAGAGGATAACGATCTGTACCTATGCACATTTTCTGCCACAGACATGAGTTCAACTTAGCCCTCCATCTTTTATCTATCAAATTATCAGTTACATTTATTTGCATTTGCAGTGTATGACAATTTAAGCTACAATAGAGTAATTATTTGGAGTACAAACGATCTTACACCTTGCATTTAGATTCTGTGACTAATGAAAACTGGAGCCAAGATCTACAGGAGCAATTGTAAAGAAATAGGCCGGATAACTAAGCAACAGGTGAAATTCATTGTAAGTAAAACTGAAGTAAGGCAAAGGGAGACAGCCTGTCTTGGCACGAATTATAAAGGACCAAACGCTAAGTATGACTACTGGGAAATGTGGTCTTGGCTTACTTTAGGCAATTCTATGAAAATATCCACTCTGTGCTCCATTATGTCAGAAACGTGGTTGAATTATTCTGAATAATTAGTAGAGTAATAAGGATAAAAACATCTTTAGGTGACTTAACTAACTCAAGATGGATCCCATCCCTTATGAATGCAATGCCTGGATTTCTGATCTCCACTCCAGAAAGACATAATAGAACTGGAAATAATTCCGATAAAAACAAAGAAACAAACAAACAAACAAACACCAAAAAACTGGAACGAATAAAGGCAAAGAATTATAAAATTACACAATGGTAGGGTTTGAAAAGGGACTTCTGGAGCCCATCTGCTCCAAGCCCCCTGATAAAGCAAGTTCCCTACAGGATGCCTTCACAAGCAGTCAATAAAGGACTTTTCAGCTTGCAAAATACATGGTTTAAAAGCAATATTATAGAGCTCTATTTAAAATACAAATAATTTAGAAAAGTTCAATAGGAAATTATGGTTCACTGTATTTTCCAACACCAGAACTGTGGTACGTCAAATAAAACTAGACAATGGTAGCTATGAAATAACTAGAAAGTGACAGCTTTGGAATAAATAAGAAGAGGTGGCTCCTCATCCTGAACGCAATTAAATTGGGGAATTTCTTGAAGGAGAAGGAGGGAAAGCAATGGAATAAATATCCTGGAAACTTTTGTCTCAGGAAATTCTTAACCTATACATGAATGAAAATCTCATGTAAATATATGGAAATATCATGGAGAAGTATTACTACCCATTTAACTTGTTCTTACAGTCTTACCTACCGACCTACTACTGGTTCTGACCTGAGGAAAGACTAAATGTATCTTTGTTTTTGGTTTGGCTGTTTTTTCATCTTGCAGATAGTCTTGTAGACATTGTGTGAGGCTGTAGGATTGATTGATTGATTGAGAACAGTCTCAATCAAGCATGTAGTTTTGTTCTACTTTTCTCATTGCATCAGTAGGCAGCTCCTCAACTGATAAGTTTCAGGCAACCTTCTTGGAATTCATACTGTCTGAAGAAGGCTTAGTAGAAAGAGGTTTGAGTTGCAATGCATTCAGGTTATCGACTTTTGCAGCTGGCTCAGTTTCTTGGAGTTTCTGATATCTTTGGCAAGTTTGATCCAAATCATGCATGGAAAGAAGAAAAAAGAAAAAAGAAAAAAGAAAAAAGAAAAAAGAAAAAAGAAAAAAGAA